GGAGCTGGTCGTATCTTGAAAAATTCGTAAGGAGGGGCGTTCATAACTAGAGGTACCACTGTATTTCCTTGCAGTGAGAAGTTTCCCCTGCTGATTGCTACTCAATCAAAGTACAAGTGAGGGCCAGGCTAGTCTGATGGCTACCTAGGCTGCAGTGGAGTATATATTTAAATCTGGTGGGGGGGGTTGCTGTTGCCTGCCTGCGGTAATGAAACATGGGGAGGCAGTTGAATAAATCATTAGCCACTGTACATGGATGATGGGCTGTGCTTGTCTTGTTAGGTTATAGCGTTTTGCAAGTCTGCTGTAGGAAAGACAAATGCACAAGAGTATTAAATGGGTGGTGTATTTGTTCTGTTTACAAGCAGCTGTAGCACTTTGAATGTGCAATAAATGGCCAATACCATGAATGTCACAGCCACTTTGTAGCAAAATATGGCAGTCGGGATTTAAGGCTTTCTGATGTTAGAGTTGTCCAAGTTGTACGTAGCCCACGTTGCAAAGAGGGAGAGCTTATTCCACTTTTGACAAATTGTGGCCTTGAGCAGATCCATTTCCTATGCTTCTTAGCTGGATTTGGATCCCATCTGTGAACTGCATAGCTAGACTGGGCAGTTTCCTTACACGCTACAGTTTTTGTGCTAAATTTAGTCTTCACCATTCATTAGAGAATGCTCAAGAAGTAGATGAGAGCAAGAAATACCTCCACATTCATTTTGTGACCAAATGTGGCTGGTTCAAGCCTCAGATGAAGTCATCCTTCCTTTCTTCAGTATGCCACAGAAGGGGAAGGGAGGGTTTCTGCATGATGCGCAGGGACTCACACCCTTCAAATTATGTGCTTAGCATGAATTATGCTAATTGTATTGTTAGCCACAATGATCCAGGGCAGAACTTTTTCCCAGATGCAAATATGGTGATAAGCATGACATAAAAGCCATCCTAAAAAAGAAAAAAAAGACTTGGTTTTTTTTCTTTTCCTCCCTGACATGTGCAGGAAGTCCATCAAACACATTCCTCTTTGATGTCTGAGAATGGTGGAACCCAAACCTACTGCTGTCAGAAAACCCTTCTCATATCAGTTTGTTTCCTTAGAAACCCTACCATTTGCTACATAAACTCTGTGTACTGCAGAGGGGTTTCTGGAAGTTGCAGATTTGGAGTACCTCTTGGGTCTCACTTGTCTAGGCCCAATTCCACATACAGAAGCTGGCTGGACAACATTCTCCATTGTGCCTGAGGGCAACTGGCTAATTGGGATACAGGGCAGGCCACAAAGTACACAGAGCTGTCTCCTTCCATGCTTCACTACCATTCTGTGTCTCCACCTAGCTCTGCCTTCTGAGGAAGTTGCCTCTCCCTTTTTGTAGGGACAGCCCTGTGTGTCATTCCACGTGAACTGAGACTGCACCTTTGAGGCACACATAGTTTTTTCCTTCATCACTAAATAATTAGCTTTGAGAACAGAGGCTATGGGAAGGGTGGATGGCCATCTATTGATGTTATCCAGTCCCTGGCAGGTATGCCAGGAATCAGTCCTATCCTCAGGCCATTTACTGTTTTATTGTTAGGTCGTTAAGTTCCCTAGTGTGTCCAGATGATGGTTCATAACTGCCTTTGACGTCAGGACATTATCCCCTGGTGTCCAATGGCTTTATCACATTTAAGTTGAGAAATGAAAAAAAAAACCCACATTGCTCATAATTTCTTTTTTGAGGGAAAGATGTGGTGAGATTGCCTCCTGAGCAAGCTCTATTTGGATTTACCTTTCAGGAAGTATATTTGTTCTTCAGTCCGTTCTTCCTCCTTCCATTTAATGATTTCATACTATAAAAACAGATTGCCTGTTGAGTCCTGATTGTAAGGCCATTCCAACTGGGCTTGTTTTGGCTTCCCAAATTCTCTCCTGTTTGGAGGACAGAGTGGCTCTAAAGAATACAAAAGCTAGTTGCCTCTGCATTCTATATTCTCTTTTCTAGATTCTTCACTTCCACTGGATTTGGGTAAAAAGAATGGGGTGCTTAATGGGCAGCACAGTGGGGAATTTCTCAGTTTCATTTGGTTTTGACTGACTTTTCTTGGAGATAGTGAAGGAGAGAATGTTTGGTGTTGAGCAGTGTTACGTTTCTTTACCTGGAAGAGGGACATTGTTTCAGTTTTGTGGAAGCCAGTATAAGTCATGAAACTGAGGAACCTTCATACCTCTCCTCAGCCACTCTCAAAATGAGTAATTATATATTGAAAGTGGATCTAAGTGGATCAGAGAAAGCACAGTGGTCAAAAGTGTGAACACCTAAGGAGAGCCTCTTTGGCCACCAAGAGTAAGCTCTGCTGTTTCTGCTATCCACCTGCTTGTTCATGCAAGATGGGCACCATGAGAAGGAAAAAAAAAGCTGGCTTGTTCCTGGATTTTCACATGTTCTTTTTCTTTTGGAAGACATAATAAGGAATCTGTTAGATCATATCAAAGGCCACTTTGGGAATGTGCTTTGTTCCCACAGTAGGTAACCAAATGCTTCCAGGAACCCCTTAAGTATCACACAAGTTTAATAGTGCTCCCTCCCTTTCCCCCTAGGAACAGGTATTGAGAAACTAGCTTCTGTACTGGAGGTGATATACAGCCACCGTGATTAGTAGCTACTGCCAGTCTTATTTTTTATGGAGCTACCTAATCCCCACTGTAGATAGCTGTACAATGGTGAATTCCATAGTGTCGTTGTGTATTATGTTTGCTGTGCTCTGCCCTAGTTTAATTTTGATAAACAGCATGCTTTTGGTTCTGTGAGCGATTCCCCTGCCATTCTTGCCTGAGCTGACCTACAAAATACAGGAAACAGTAATTTATGTTATTGTTCTTATATCTCCTTAAAAATTAAAACCATATGTTTATTTGTATCACTACGTGGTAATGGTGTTGGGAATTTGCGGTGATTGTGCTGCCGGTGCTTCTGTAGTTTCTGGCAGTGATTGGCTGTCATGCTTCATTATAACAGAAGGACAAATGGCCAGAGATGCTGGTCAAGAGCCTAGAAGGGGGATGAGCAGGTAGATCTGGGGATGGAGGGATAGAAGAAGGATAAGCCCAACTAAAGTGAAACCAGGGAAGCCAAGGAATACAGGTTGTGAACTAGGAAATGGTGGTTGAGACATGAAAAGGGAAGTTCCCCAGATGAGTGAGTAGAAAGGAAAAAAACGTGGAAGACAAATCCGAAACAGGAAAGGATACAGAACAGTCTGTGGCACCTTTGGTCAAGTTCGATGGAGCTGCTGGAACCATAGGTTGCTTATTCTTGAATTATACAGCTTGGGGATCAAGTAGAGTAAGGGATCTCATGTTGGTTTGAAATCACTAGTCAAATCGTTTGACTGTAGCCTTCTAGACGTAGTATATGCAGTCTTGTATAGATGTATTTCATAAAAATATAGTTCAAAAATCATATGACCTATGTGGATAATACGCAAAAGTCTTCAAGAGCTATCCTTGAATTTTGGAAGAACCTTGATGATTTACTTTGGCTTTTTGTCCATTTTAATTGGTGGCATGCATTGGAATTTTTTAGCAGCCACTATTTGGCCAAGAATCTGAGCTGCAGTCTAATGCTGCGTTAGTTTTGCTACATCTGACGTATACCAAATAAAAATGGCCTGTTTAACACACTGGATAATCTTTCCTCACCCCATACCTTCAGCAGTGACTCCAGCCATTTCCCCATCATGGATCGGATGAAGAAGATCAAGAGGCAGCTGTCCATGACGCTGCGTGGGAGCCGAACTGTAGAGAAAAACCTCAACGAACCCATCAATATAGAGGAGAACAACAGCAGCGATAATGGTGAGTTCCCTCCTTGACCACCTGTTGGAGGGAGAACTGATAGCAGATCTTTTTTTTTCTGATTTACTTATCGTAGTTTTAAATTGCTTTTCTTGGCTGTACCTTTACAGAGCAGCATGCAAAATAGCCTTTGATCACATACAAGGGAGAGTCATAGAGTGCTTGGCAAAGCTTCTTTGAGTGCAGGCAGCTTTTATTAATTCAGTTGAAGGATCCAGAATGTTTTTTACTGCTTGTCTAAACTTCTGCACCAAAAGGGCTAGCTCTCGTGCACTGGCAGATGGACCCAGAAGGCTCCCTGGTGTAAATCGCACTGAATAGCCAGATTTACAGTATAAAGATGGGGCTGGTCTTTTAGATAATCGGGTATTTAGTGCTTCAAAACTTAAGACTAGCATTTTGGATTAGGAATGGAAGCTTCTGGGCAGCCAGGAGTTGGCACATAGTTGGAGGAATGTTTTCTGACTTCCTGGCCTTGTTCAAACGCTGGGCAGGGGTTCCTTGTCCTCAATGAAGCTTCTGGGCTGTCTTTGGGTCCTGCAGCAGACTAGCCATTTTGGATTAGGAATGGAAGCTTCTGGGCAGCCAGGAGTTGGCACATAGTTGGAGGAATGTCATTTTGGATTAGGAATGGAAGCTTCTGGGCAGCCAGGAGTTGGCACATAGTTGGAGGAATGTTTTCTGATTTCCTGGCCTTGTTCAAACGCTGGGCAGGGGTTCCTTGTCCTCAATGAAGCTTCTGGGCTGTCTTTGGGTCCTGCAGCAGACTGAGATGAGGAATGGTGTTCAAGTAGTCAAGAATGCATTTT